AAGACTAATCAGAAATTAATACCGGCCTTTGACTATAATCCTTTAGAAGAGGAAGGGTGAAGCTTTTAAGGAGGAGTTTTCTTAATGCCACCAAGTCGACAGTTTACTTTTCCATATGGGCTCAAGTTAAAAGATAGCAGGAGGTGGTAAAGTCCTTTCAGAGACCTCACCTTGGTTTTGTGTTACGTAAATTCTACCTAAGACCTTCCTTAATACAAAGCAAATCCTGGGACTTAAAACCTAAGTTGCTGCCTAGCATCAAGGGAAAAGCCACTTGGAGCAGACCCTAACCATCTACTCAGTAAAACATTTACAGTCATGTGTTGCTTAATGATGGGGATAGTTCTGAAAAATTAATCATTAAGCAATTTCATTGCTGTGCGAACATCATAGAATGCACTTACACAAACCTAGATGGTGTAGCCTACTACACCCCTAGGCTATATGGTACTGATCTTATGGGAGCACTGTCATATATGCGGTCTGCCATTGACTCAAATGTCATTATGTGGCGCATGACTGCATGTCTCCTGAAGGAAGAATCCCTGGACCAGATTAGCCCATTGATGGAGGACAGGCAGATGGTAACGGGTCTGTAAACATCTGTGTTAGGTAGAATACTGCTTTATCATTGCACCCATGGAGAATTTGCTCAAATATGTGATGCTATATATTTGGCAAATATTATCTGTTTCACTAGCAGCTAAGACCTAGGAATTCTAGAAAAACAGACTGAAGCAATGTAGTCCGAAGAACTTGCCTTTTCATAAAACATTGACTTGCCACTTCCTAGCTGTGTGACCTTGGGAAACTTGGTCACACCTTTTAAAATCTTTAAAATTAGTAATACCACCTAAAGGGATTAAATACACTAGTGTGTATAAGGACTTTGCAAGGTATCTAATTCACAGCAAGTACCCAATAAATATCAGTTTCTTCCATTAGCATTCCAAACTAGATGGAGGTACATATTATTATGCAATGTTGTTTAATATTCTTTGAGAACCCACAGTGTGGATTTATAAATCTAGAATTAGATAAAATACTTTGCAAACATCTCTGCTGATTTCTGTTAACCTATTTTTTCTGAAATCACTTACTATTAACTTAGTATTACTACATATACTTTAAAAATTAAAAATTTTAGACAACAGAGTAAAGTTGTTCCTTGGGAACTTGGTGACATGGAAAAAGCTGAATTAAGAGCCATGAAAGGTCATTATAAAGATATTCCATAGCAAACAAATATTAACCATTATGAGCAGAATGAAGATGCAGGAGAAGAGGTTAGGAGTTCCACAACTTCCTTCAGCTCCTCACTCAAGACTAACAGTACTCCACTGTGGAAGATAGTTCCTGCTACCTCCTTCCCCAACCCTGATACACATAAAGTTGGGCAGTGAAACATTTAAAAGAATGGGGTTGGAGGGGCCAACCCAGTGGCGTAGTAGTTAAGTTTGTGCACTCAACTTCAGCAGCCCAGAGTTCGGGGGTTTGGATCCTTGCCACAGCCATACACATCACTCATCAAGTTATGCTATGGTGGGTTCCCACATATAAAACAGAGGAAGATTGGCACAGGTGTTAGCTCAGGGGCAAGCTTCTTCAAGCAAAAAGAGGAGGATTGGCAACAGATGTTAGCTCAGGGCCAATCTTCCTCAAAAAAAAAAAAAAAGAATGGTCGTCACAGCGTATCAAACGTGGCTCACACTCTGAACCAATAGCCATATACAATCACCAACAAAGCCTCTTTCCAAGGAAGTGGTGCCTGGGGAAGACAATCTTTTGATAGGAGAAACATACTCATCCTGGCAGATACTAAAGCTCACGTGCTAAAGACTGAGTTCAGGCTCAAATGTACTAAATACTAAGAAAACATACATTGTCAATATTTTGTGTTCCTGTGCATTTTATTATTTCTCACAATAACATCAATAAATAGTTGTTATACATGTTTTAGACACTACTTTTATTCTTTACAAGATAAACTTTTTAAAAAATTCTTTGGCATTGTAGGAAGAAATTCCAGAAATTATGATGATGCTGGCACTGTATGTTGCTTTGTTGTATCAACTATAACTTTCTTAAAGACTTGAGAAGGTCTCAGCTTCTAGGGCTACCGCATAAAATAGCTCCAAGAAATATTACAAGCTTAGTTCATTTTTGAGCCACCAGTGGATAGCAAGGTAAATAATTTAGTAAGTAAGTATCATTTTATTAACATAAATTCCCACACCAGATAAATTAAATAAATTTCTCAAATAAATTCCCATGCCAGAAGTGAAAAAAGACAACCAACTGTTATGGTGCATGTACTCAGAGTTCGTATATGTAAGACATGCATCTTACATATTAGAACTGAGCTCCAAGCTCATTTTTCCTAAACACAACAGCTTTTTCCTACCAGACCTTGACATAGTCAAGAATGAAGATTCAGATCACCGTATCTTCTGAATAGCAAAATTTCAGAGCCTAACCACTCTTGCTCACCGTGGTCCAAAGCACAGTTACAAATATTCAGTAAATTCTATGAGTGTTTCATTCAGACGTTAGTCTCTTCGACTACTTAAAAGAATTAAACCGTCTTAATCTGGAATTCAAACGACAGGAAAAACAAAATAGTTCTGAATAGCCAAGCAAGTTATCCAATATCCTTATTAAAAAAATAAGGAAATAAGGAATCTAGTTAACTGGTGAAAGAACATGTTCTTTAAAATGTAAGATTCTTTTGAAGAAATCAACTGTGGTTTAATGAAGTTGCCCTGTAATTCATTTTCATCGAGTTTATTATGAAAGAACATCCGCAAAATTCCAACTTTTAAGAATCCCACTGTTCGCATCTCTATACGTTAGTTGTTTGTTATCACAAGTTTAACACTTTTTTTTTATTAATAACTGCAATAGAATTGATTACTGATAAAGAGAATAGGGAAAAGTTTAATCGTAGAAGGAAAAAAGATTCTATCTAACTAACAGCATTATTATTAATAAAGCAAGCAAGAAGGAAACCAGAAAATATCTTGTTCATTAGAATTCCTTCCAAGGAAGAATTTTCCAAAGGATATCACAGGCCTCAGTCATGACTGGTTCTTAAATTATATATTTACATGCACTATGGCATTTTTTAAAGTTTACCAATAACCCAGAAGGCTCTGGGCACAAATATAAAAAAATAATTTTAAAAATGCCACAATTGAATTAGATTCTGTTACAAAGAAAAAACTCTAAACCTTAAGCTACCCCATAAAAGAACAGTAGAGAAAAAATTAATTCAGCTGGATAGTTATAGAATGCCAAACCAAAACTATACACTTTTGTCCCATGCCCTGAATGTCAAAGAACTTAAGATAAAAACAACCACAACAAACAAGCCAACTTCCACCGTACACAACCACATTATTGGCCTACAAACCCTACACGTAGTGCTCCAGCACTAATCATATGTATAAGTCCGGTCAACCACTTTTTCAACATAGGAATGACCTATAGATTTCATCCCATCTTTTCTGATGAGAGAGACAAGATCCAGGTCTGAAACCACACCCTAGCCACTTCCTATCCTCAAACACGCTGGCCAGCGAAACCTTTGGGAAACAGGCCAAATGGTTATGGAAACCCTACAACTTCAATTTCCTTCTCCTCTGGTCCAGTCATTTACCAGAACTGTAACCAAATAGCAAAATGCACTGGTTTGAGTTTCAGCTTTTTTTGCTTTCCCTCGCCCACCCTCTGGTAGAGATGCTAATGAGCGGTAAAATCTCCCGAGGCAGGGAGCCAGATAATAACCACCATGCTCAGTGATCTCCCTTAGATAATCAAGAGTCGGCACCAGCGCCTGGAGGAAGCTGTGAACGTAAAACACAGAGGATCCTACAGGAACAGCTGAGCTATAGCTACGGCAGGATGCAGACTTCCCTGCGGAGGAGAATCGGGTCGTAGCACTGAACAGCAAAATACGTGCATTCTAAACGCCTGTAGTCCTTTCAAATATGAGATTGTGAAGCAGCCATGGCGTGATCCATTTCATCAAAGTACCCAGGGCCAGAGGAGACAGGAAAGTGGAGGGCTAGAGAAGCAGAGTGAAGAAATGTGACAGTGGACAGCCTTCTTGCATCCACTTTCCCAAAGTGTAAGAAGAAAATTACTACTTGATTTGTATCACAATAAATACAGTAATGTAATAAAACTCTAGCACAGCCCCTGGCTTGTGTAGGTGGTCAATAAATGATATCAACTTGATTCATTCATTCGACAACGCTGATGGAGAACCTACCTACTATCTGCCAGGCAGTCTGCTGGACACCAGCATTACAGAGACTGAAAAACCTATTGGCTGCCTTGCAGGATCTCCTTAGCCTCATGATGATGAAGGTCCCTCAGAGCAAACCGGAAACTGGAAAACAGCTGTACCATATGCAGCTGTTCTACCACAGAGAACTCATCGTCCCATGGCTTGAGTCCTCAACAATTCTAAAGAGAGCATGAAAACGGCCAAACTCCAAGATTTTGTGAAATTCAATATGAAGATGCTACTAAACAGGACAAAGGAGGCACCATCATCGCACCATCTTACATTTGCACATCTTAGCATTCAAAAACCATGTCTTAGTTCATTAACACTCCTGATAGTTGACTACAAATATTTCCTTTCAGAAGTCACGATACTACACAACTTCAGAACCAGGAGGAACCTCGAACATTAACTCCTCATTTCAGAAATGAGGCTCAGAGAAGTAAAGCGGCATGCCCAACCTCAAGTACCTATTAAGACACCAAGCACAAAATAAGGAGAGAGGCAAAGACAGGAAGGGAAACAAACAGCATTTGCTGAGGGCTATTTTGCCAGACATGGTTACACTATAAACATCTAATGCTCACAACAAAATACAGCAAGGTAGATATTATCACCCTATTTTACAGAGGAGGAAGTTGAGGCTCAGGTTAAGTAACTTGCCCAAAGCCACACAGCTAAGAAGCAGAAAAGCGAGTTCATTCAGTACCTCACAGTGTTTATGGAGGTTGCTCTTTTTACAACTGCCTCTATAGAGAAGTCAGCTTATGGTCCTTGTCAGCTTCCAATTGCTACTGACCATGAATCTTGAGGACTGGTATGATGAAAACAGAGGAAAAACCGTTCACTAAGGTTTAGTGACCTTTCCTAATCCACAAAAGGTGATATCGCTCAGACAAAGCTGATATTGTCTCGCTCGCAGGCTACTCCTTCACAAAGTTTTCTATACAATTCTAACTTTCATTTTCACAACAAACCTCAATATTCACCACGTGCAAGTATTTAGCTTCTAAACCTCAAAATAATCAATCTCTATCATATTATTGTTCTTCAGCTGCCAGAAATCCCTTCAGAGGCTTTATTAGAAATGTCGGTAATCCTTCAAAACGCCGACTGGTGTCTTTTTCAAACGGTTCTGTAATAGCATCTCGAGCATCATCCTCCACGAGTACCTCCAGGAGGATTCCAGCCAATACTTTACTAAAACTCTTCCCTACACATGTGGGACTAGCCACAGATGAGCGGCTGTGATATATTTAAGAGATCACTAGAAATGCAGAAAGGAAATAGCTGCATATTCTATTCCCTCAAGACAAAGTCTGCTTACAGAAATTACTGATAAAAAATATTAAGACAACTTCTGTATCACAGAGCACCTTCCTCGAGTGACTACGTTCCCCAATAAAATTTGTGATTAAAATATATCTTAAAATATGTCCCACATCTAGATTTGAAAATACCTTAAGCAGAGCAGGAAATCTTGAATTGTTTTGAAGGGAGTTAAAAAGAAAAAACAATGAAAGGGTAGCATAAAGAGAGATTTCTTACCTTAACGGCCATAAATGAGACTGCATCTCAAAATCTTTTTTTTTAATTTACCAAATTGTAGGGAGAACGGAGAAATTAGAACTCAATTATCCAGATTCTTAAACAACACGTCCAGCAGTCTCTAATTAATTGTCTAAGCCTTCATTTCCTTTTGTCTGTGTGTTGGGTAGGGAGAGAGAAGGAAAAGAGAAAGAGAACACGTAGAAACAGATGTGGAAAGAAATATTTTTCAACACAACATCTTGGCAAACTTTGATCTTTATATCACCCTCGCACTCTATTTTCTAAGTTTCTTAGTTTGCCCAATCCCCATAGAATTCAGAGCTAGAAAGGAAGATAAAAACCTCTTAGAGGTTTTCCATAGTGTTAGAGAAGCTTCTTTGGAGAATTCTGATTGCCTCCCCCTGAATCTAATATTAATAAATGTTTTTGACCCAAGGAATTTCTGCCAGAGAATAGAGGAAATAAAAGGTTCATTTAGCTGGTTTGTCCTGTCCTTGGACTTCCAGGCAGAATAAACAGCACCTTGTGACAAAGGCGGACCACACGCTGGCTGAGCTCCAGGCAGACACTGGGGGACGCAGGCTGTTTATCAGACAGCACATTGTCTTACCCGGGATGTGGTCGGCCTTTGTAACAAGAAGTATGCAAATGAGTTTCCCAGAGACCCAACACCCTGCCCCCGCTCCACTTGTTCCTTCAGGAGACGCAAGCTAATGGTGACTGTCCTGAGAACAGAACAGAGAGCCACAGAAAGACAGGGGAAGAGGAAGCATCCAGAATTAACCAGGGCCCAAGAGAACTTTTCACTTTTCAAGAAACATACCACAAAGAATATAATTCCAAACCACCCTGATTCCAGAAAAAAACAAACACACACACATTTTAAAACAGGATTGCAAGTTTTTTAATGTTCAAAAATTAAAAGAATTCTGAATCTGGTTCACTTATTCTTGATGCAGGGCAATGCAGCGAAGCTTTAAAATGCTCCATTTTCTCGTAGGAAAATTGCATCCCCAGACACTGCTGCAAACTGCCGCCAGGAGCATCTCTCTGAACTTCAGTTCCTTCATATATAAAACGGTACTAACAATAGTATCTGTGACATTTGGTTGCTGCAAAGATTAAATGAGGTAATTAATGGAAAACAGTTTAGCACAATGCCCAGCACATAGTCTGGGCTCAGAAAATGTTAGCAGGTTTTATACTATGCATATTATTGAGCTGTGTATCATAAAAGCACAAAGAATGAGCCAAAAGTACCAGAGGGGAAGAATGTGGGGCAATAAAGGCAATTATGGAGAAGAAAGACCAGTGCCCCACTGGCTAGTTTAAAGGAGTTCAATGAATTGCAAGTTTGTATCCTATTTGAGTCTCAGTTTCTCTACCTGTAATATAACACTCACTTCATATGGGTTATGAAGAGTAAATGAGACACACATTCAAGTGCCTAGCACAGCGCCGTGCAAATCATAGCCACTCAATGGTGTTAACTATTTGCTTGTTTTATTTACATAACCCTATGGTTGGGTTCAAATTCACACTTTGTACCTGTGTGATATTAGTCAAATTACTTAACCTTTCTGGACCTCAATTTCCCTCTCAGTAAATGGAGTATAATAATAATACCTACCTCACCACGTTTGCTGTGAGGATTTCATAAGCTGCAGGGCCCTTAGACGGGCTCCTGGCTCAAAATGAAGACTGACCATTATTGGTTGTAATTGCAGTCTAATTCCTTACTTGATGCATACAGTTAATCTCATTTGGCTGCTAAATTCTGTGAAGCATGCGATGGTCACTTGGCATACCTGTAACCAGACTGCCATTTCTGGCCTTCAGAATTGCACTGGCTATCTTGGCAAACTTTCACATAGTCCTAAGCACTGACATTAATTATGCCTCATTATTTCAAAATGATTTCTTCAAAGCAGGCAGATAATGGTTTTCTCCTGATGGTTGGGTTCACCTTCCTCCAGGCCCCTCACGTCACCTTTGATCTGCGAAATCATTTCTATCCTAGCCAGGGTAAAGGAACAGGAAACAAATATCGAACTCATTTCAGAAGAAGAATCCAGTCTCAGACCTCAGTTTCTCAGTGTGTTTTCCATTGGAAAAGTTTCATCTCACTCCATGTTTCTACAATAATGATGCTAGATACCTAAATCGGCAAATGTTGACAGCCCAACAAATATACTAAGGAAGACAAATCAGGTTTTTCTGATATATTCTAATACAGAAAGATTTTTACATATAAATCAGATGCCTCACTTACATGCTTTCCTAGCCCCTCTTGGATGCCTGAAACACAAAACTTACCAGGCTTTGTTGTGAATTTTCTTTCTTGCCCATCCTCCCAATCCTGAGTATTCAAGAGGAGTGTCTCTGCCTTATCCGCATCTGTAACTCCTGCGATTGGTACAGAGCAGTGTAGTGTCTGAAGCCACCCTGCCTGGGTTCAAGTTCCAATTTTTACCATCGAATAGCAGTGGGACCTTTGATAAGTCACTGAAATTCCCTGTTCTTCAGTTCTTTCAACTATAAAATGAGGATAATAACAGTACCAACCTCCTGAGGTTGCAATGAAGAGTAAAGACCTAACGCATGCAAAGAGCTTAGAACAGGACCAGACTGAGGAATCGTAGTAGATACTATTTTATTTTGCTCTTATTATTATTATTATTATTAGCGATAACTGACAGACATGTTTCTACTCTCATGAAGCTTGCATAACTCTGCTTGAGACACATAAACAAACAAATAAATCAGTAAGATTAATTCAGTAGTGGGGCAGGCCCCGTGGCCTAGTGGTTAAGGTCAGCAAACTCTGCTTCAGAGGCCCAGGTTTGGTTCCCAGGTGTGGACCTACACCACTCATCAGTGGCCAGGCTGTGGTGGTGACCCACATACAAAATAGAGGAAGATTGGCACAGATGTCAGCTTAGGGCAAATCTTCCTCAAGCAAAAAGAGGAAGATTGGCAATAGATGTTAGCTCAGGGCCAAACTTCCTCATAAAAAAAGGGGGAGTGTAAAAAAAAACATTAATTGGGTAGTAACATGTGCTGTGATGAATATGAAAAGGAGGAAGGTGATAAAATGCAACTGGAAGACAACTTAGATTGGACAGTCAGAGAAGGCCTCTCTAAGGTTGTGACAACTGAAATTAAGATCAGGAAAGAGCCAGCCTTAAGAAGTCATGGAGAAAGAGTGTTTCACAGACAAGGAAAACTAGCCCCAAAGCCTTAGCCCCCAAGCCTTAGGCAGGAAGGAGCTTGTCTAGTTCCAGAACAGAAAGAACGTCAGTGTGGTTTGGCTGGAGTGTAGTCAGCAAGGAAGAAAAGGGTAGGAAATGATGCTCCAGGGGTAGGCTTCGGTTAGAGCACACAGCCCATGTAGCATCGGGTAGAGAATTTGAGTTTTATTTCCAGCCCGAAAAGATGCCTTTGTTGAGTCTTGCAAACTCAGATGATCTCATTTATGTTTTAAATGATCACTCTGGCTGCTATGTAGATTGGAATCAGGGAGATAAATTTGGAGGCTCTTGCGGTAATCCAGACGCAAACAAAACAAAGGAAACGAAGGTAGGTTACATTAGGATGGTGGAGGTGGAGACCAAAAGTAAATGGAGCTGGGACAGGTTCTGAAGACAAAGTCAACAGGATGTGCTGATGGAGCAACACTATAGGTCACCGAGGCAAATCTACTTATTAAAGGAAAAGATGTTCAGATTACATTGTTCTCTTTTTAAACTGTGCTTTAGATTTATCTCTCATTTAACGCACAAAGCAACTCAGAAAAGTCAAAAGTTCTAAAATGGACATAAAGAGGGATAACGCTATAAAAACACTCCAATAAGTATGAAGGGAAGCTGAAGACATCAGAGCTGGTAGCCCTCTTCCCCCAGCATGACTACAGAAGGCTTCGAGTCCCAGGGAAACCCTTCTCCCTGCTTGGCGCCTCGCCAACGTGACGTGGAACAATAGCCAACAGGGACCAACAGAGGGAGGAGGCCGGGCCCATGAACCTGGGATAGTAGGTGGCTCCTCAAAGTCTGTGTGTGGCGTGCAAGGACCCAGAAGTTCCTATGTTCCGTAGTGGGGAGCCCGGAAGAGGTAGACAAGTGGACGGAGCAACAGAAATGGAGTAGCAGTAAAAGGAGAAGCCACAGAATATGACTATTTCTCAACACAATGCCAGCACCCCCAAAAGCCCACATAGGAATGGTCCTACCCAACAAAGCCTTGTAACAGAGACCAATAGAGATTCAAAGAATGGCGACAGATCCTGCCATGTTATGTAAAACAACCTCTTACACCAAGATGCCATCTGGAGGAGATGCAGGAACAGGAAAGGGGCATCCAAAAGACCTGAGCATTTACCCAAAAGAGCATGAGGAGCCCAAAGGGGACTGGAATCCCTTTAACGGGCAAAGTCCCAGTCTTCTTCCTTCCTAGCAGGGTGAAAGGCTTATGAAGAAAATTAGCTCAGATGTGAAAAATAAAGAAGCTACAGTTTTCTTTTTCATCTAATTGATAATTATTACATTTGTAATGCTATCATAAGTGTTGTCAAGTCAGACAAGATCAAATTCAAGCAAAAAGTGTCAAATAAAACAGAAAACTTTATGATAAAGAATACAATCCACAATGAGATTATAGCAGTCTTGATGCACAAAATACTTATATTAAATTCATAATACATGGACTATAGGAAATGCAAAGGGAAATAGACTAAAACATAAGATTAGGAGACTTTAAATCACAATTTTAGCCCATGAAAAATCAATTGGACAAAAAAATAAGAATGTTAGGTGTCAATTACATAATTGATGAACATAACAAATACGTAGAACTTGCTATCCGAATTTTAAAAAATACACCTGCTTTTCAAGAATTCATGAGACATTTATAAAATTCTGACCATAAATAAAATCAAAAAGAAAACTAGAAGTAGCACAGAACACATTATCAGACTGTGACCTCCAGGGATATTAAACTATAAATAAAGAAGAGGAAGAGAAGGACCAGAAGAAGAAGGAAATCAATCTTATGAAAATTAAGAAATTTACTTTGAACCAACACTTGAGTCAAAGAAAAGATCAAAACTAAAATTGCAAAACATTGACAAAGTAATAAGGAAATACATTACATATTAAAAAAATACGCAACAAGCTAAAACTTAGAGTTAAGTCCACAATCATAAACACATTATTAAGTAAGAAAGCATGAAAATAAATTGAGCATTCAGGTCAACATATAAGAAAAATAACAACAAAATAAAATTTTCAAAGTATAAAAAGAAACAATATGAATTAGAAAAATAAAATTTGTTAATATTAGAATTCAAAAAAATAAGAGTATTAGTGATAAATAAACCCAAGAATTGATTCTTTGAAATAACAAACCATTAGCTGGCCTAACTCAGAAAAAAAAGAAAGTTAACACAATTAGAAGGAAAGAGAAATAGCCACGAATACAGAGGAATTTAAAGCAATTATGGGAGACAGAGGAATATGTTTTTAGCCATACTTCTTGGAGCTGGTCAAAAACACTTCTTATATATTGTATTTCTTTTTCGTGTTCATACTATCAACATCAAAAAATGTTATAGCAAAGCAATTTTAACATTCTTAAATCAAGAAAACCTTCAAAATTGTTTAAATAATACTTCTGTGGATTCTTGGTTTCCGTCAGTGGCAATTTTTTTTTCTCAGAGCATCTCTCACTGACTGGACTGATTACTTCATGGTCATAACAATCATTGGGCTACACATCTTAAGCGATTTTAACCTAAATATAGAATTCTCTGACAGGGGTGAAATCTTAGCATCAGCAGGAAATGATATGTTAAGTATATTCTCATGCCTCCAACCATCCCCAAAACTACTGGTCAAATAAATTCCACCAATTTACTCTAATTAAAGCTAAAAAGTGTCGTGTGTGCTTTAAAAGTCAGTCAATTTTGAGGTAATTACACCCGAAAGCAGGACTCCATCAAGGTCTCTTTTTTAGAATTAAATTCAGATGGGAAGTCAAGGAGTCAAGGGACATTTGCAGATAATTCGTTCCATGCCTATATCTTCCTGGGCTGTTTACTGACAGTGGAAGGATGGGTGCATTTTTGGAAAGATACATAAGGATGTTTTTGTTTTTCTCCTCTCCATTCCATTTTTTTCAACCGGGTCAATTTTATTGTGAATTTATAAGAAACTGAGATTTCAATCTGAGGAAAGAATATGCAACCTAAAATATAAGAATAAACCCTTACATTTGTAGAAGGCTTTGTGGTTCTCAAGACGCTTTTATGGACACCGTTTCATTTCATTCTCACAAGAATTCTTAAGGTAACATTCTCCCCATGACCAACAAAGAAACTGAAGATTAGTGATTGAAGAGGATCAGAAAATGCTACCGCAAAACATGCCGCTTTGGCATAAGGATTATTTTGAGCTGCACACAATTAAGAAAGAGCAGACACAGGAGAAACTCTCCACCCTCCTCTCTTCCTAAAAGCAGTTAAGTTTGCCCTTGTGAAGGTGTCCTCCTTCCCCTCTCCCATCCAGGGAAGAGGAGGACGACTCAATCACCACCCATGGCTTTCGTCACTCAAGCATCCTTGAGCCTGAATAACAAACCTCATTAAAATAACCCTTCTCTTCCATTAGTGTCCCCCATACATTTACCTTCCCACAATTTACCACCCCAAGAAGCCCAAATCCCTTTTCCTTCGTCTTACTACTTCTCCACAGTTTATTACCCTTTGTTAAATGGTATATAAGCCCTCAAGTCTAACCACTTTTTTGGGTTTTCACTTCTTTTTCTGTGAAGCTGCCATGTGCATGCAAAATAAACCGTTTCTCCTATTAACCTGTCTTCTGTCAGTTTAATTCACAGGCCTCAGTCACTAAACTTAAAAGGATAGAGGAAAAGTTTTTTTCATTCCCTATGAGACCAAAAACCTTGCAACAGGGGCCAGCCCCATGGCAAGCGGTTAAGTTTGGCATACTCCACTTCCTCGGCCTGGGTTCACACGTTCAGATCCCAGGCGTGTACATATATCATTCATCAGCCATGCTGTGGCGGCAACTCACATACAAAATAGAGGAAGACTGGCACAGATGTTAGCTCAGGGCAAATCTTCCTCAGCAAAAAGAAAAAAATTTAAAAACACTCAGTGCAACATTGTACCTCAAGCAAATTTGCTGTATACGCACATACTGCCTCCTCACACCCCTATAGCAGACATCACCCAATCATCAAAGTACTGTTTCCTGCTGAGGCTAAACATTCCCCAAATCCTTTTCAACACAGTTTCCATGCAACCACTTTGCTATGTCTGCATTACGACTTCCTAATAATGTGCACAGCATATTGGTAGTTTCCCACCTTTGCTCCAGGGAGAGCCCTCCCTGACGACAGAAAAGCAACTCTGAATCTCTTTCTTTGAGAAGCTTTATCCACATTACCTTATTCTAAAGAATTTTCTGAAATTAAAACAAAAAAAATGCTTCCTGCAAAGTAGGTGATACCTCCTAGAGTCTCTCACCTCAAATCTGCAAAGGACTTTTTCCACAGAATTGATATGAGGCAAATTCTTGGGCTCTTCTCTTTGAAGAATCACCCCTTCATCTGGCTGACCATTCTCAGTTGGCCAGGGGACATTCTCCTTGACCTCTGGGGAAAGCCAGTGCGGTCTGGCAAAGACTCTTTATAGAGGGAACTCTCCCTTGAGGACATATCAGTTCACACATGTCCCAAGGTTTGCCAGTAAAATCATCCCCATATCTACCTCTCAC